TAACCCTAACTCTAACCCTTACCATATCAGCTAGATAGTTACCAGGGTACGTTCCGGCAGTACCCTGGGGGACATAGACCCTATCAGCGAAAGTGGGCATGGTCACATGCTTATGCTAAGCACACAGATTTGTAGCACACTACAGAGATTCAAGGCACCACGTGAACGAACGCGGTGCGAAACGCACTACAGCCGTTTAGAACACACGTGCGCTTTGTGTTACTATGACAACAATTGATCATCTGATGCATGGCGGCGGTGAGGCACCACCGGATACCGGCGCAAAATGCACACGCGTGTTAAACTAAACCAAACCGCATTATTCATTTATAAAGCGCGCCGCCGCCGCCGCCGCCGCCACCGCGAGTGTAAAGTATTGAATCGGTCTGCATTCATGGAGCGCATGATCAATGTGTGATCGCCGGCATCTAAACAGACACGCGCACGATGCCAGCACACAATAGCTGCAGGTGCTACTACAATGCAGCGCATGCGCAAACCAACGCCGTACGAAGCCACCTGCTTCGAAACTACCGTAAGCACGCTTTGTTACTCATCGATTCAATAGTTGACTTTGCCTTTATTACCTCCGCCAGGGGCTTGGCGGGGGTTATGTTTTCACCGGCGTGTGTTTGAGTGTTGGTTTGTGTGTTTGTGGGTTTGTAAACATGCACGTTTCAGTTCACTTCCGCTAGGTGCGCTGGCTGGAGACTTACAAACACGCAACCACAGGCTAAGGGGCAACCACAGTCCTCCCACACCTGCACGCTCGCACTAATCCGGATCCAATTAATTAATTAATTAATTGATTAATTTTCCACTTAATTAATTAATTAATAAAAAATTTCACATTGAGAGAATTCAGCTGCCTTGGCGGAGGTCTGTGCTCTCCGAGTGCTCTAGTTAGATTCTGGAATCACGTCTGCTGACGACGTGCACGGTGTGACACGTAAACAATAGCAAAATAATAAAAAAAAAACATGAAAAAACAATGAAAAAACAGAAATGACAAGACTGCTGTAGGGGAAGAAACGCGAATCTCGCGCGCTCGACTCACGTGTTGGGGTGACCTTGTCTTTCCGCGGACAGCCTGACAGACTGCGGTGGTGGGAGTAGAGACCAGTGATGTGGCCAGTACCGTCGCATTCCGGCGTCGGACATTTGCTCTCTGAAACCAGTAAAAGACAAACATATTCCACTTGCTCTCTGAAACCAGTAAAAGACAAACATATTCCACTTGCTCTCTGAAACCAGTATAGTGTGAGTGAGTGAGTGGGTGGTAGTGTGAGTGAGTGAGTGGGTGGTAGTGTGAGTGAGTGGGTGGTAGTATAGTAGGTGGTAGTGGGTAGTGCGAGTGAGTGGGTGGGTGGTAGTGTGAGTGAGTGAGTGGGTGGTAGTGTGAGTGGGTGGTAGTGGGTGGTAGGTGTGAGTGGGGTGGGTGGGGGGCTCACCTGCTTGGCAGTGTTCTCGAGGGTCGTGATCTCGGTGCGCAGCTTGATCATCTGCGATTCCAGCGTGCTGTTGTTCTTCTGCAGCTCTCTGATCTCTTGCTCCAGCAGCTGTATATCCTCATCACTCTCTATGTCCGCTGCAAACCAACAGAGACTAGATGGAGAACTAACTAGATGGAGAACTAACTAGACATATAACTAACTAGATGGATAACTAACTAGATGGAGAACTAACTAGACATATAACTAACTAGATGGATAACTAACTAGATATTGCAGAGGTATTGCCAATCAATTAGCAGTGTAAAGGTTGACGATGTCTGTATTATGACGATGTCTACGACTATTTATGCCTACTACGACCAATGGATAAATTCATCAGAGCCTGCCCACTGGCATGGCCACTGGTTCAGCATTACGTGATGCTTGAGTGTTGCTAGAACACGGGCGTTGAAGGAGGGTGCCGTTACGTAGCAGCACTAGTCACTTCGAACGCTTCAAAGTCCAAATCTTCCACAGAAAGATTCCACAGTCATACTTCCGTGCTAGACATGGCCTTATTTCCCTAACCCTAACCCTAATCCGAACCCTAACCCTGACCCTAACCCTAACCCTAACACAAGTGCAGCCACATCACGTGACCCTCCTTCGACGGCCGTGCTCTAGCAACACCCGTGAAGCCTGAGCCATCTCGGATCAAACACGTGCGAGAATGCATCTCCCTTAATTCGGTTTACAGTAACAGCAAGGAAAGGCACCAGGGGACTGACTACTAGTAACACATTTATCCCTCCAAGACCACGTTTAACTGATGGCATTGTAGAAATTCATTATTCGTAACAGCATGAGCCTATATCTCCTCCTCTATGCAGAGTAATATGGCAGCATAAAATTTCGCCGACAACGGCAGTACGAGTCCACTGTACTACATCCCTGTGAAGCACTCATAATCTGAGCGGAGTGCAATTTACGGCCACTCGAGCACGCACACGCGAACAATCCATCAACACCGCCGCGGTGCATGGGAATTTCCATCACTAACCATCTAGCCAATTTTAATTTTTACATTACAATGAGTGAAACCTTCCACAAGTTACGCTAACGTGTACGGACATCAAATCGAGGGCTCGAGAGTGTTATCTAAATTAGGAAGATAGGAATCCAACCAGAATTTCACCACACGTACGCACGCACGCATGCGCGCACGCACGCACACATGCCCACACCTACGTACATGCAAGCAAGGATGCTTGAACGTACGTACCCATGCACACGTGGGCACGCGCACTCTCACGCACGCACGAACACACGTACGCACGCGCGCGCACGCATGCACGCACGCACGCACGCACGCACACGCACACACACACACACACACACACACACACACATACATACCCTGGCCGTTCTCCAGCTTCTGATGCAGAGCGTTCAGCTCCTCAGTTGTCAGCTTAGCTTTCTTCATCGCGTGCGTCGCGCGCGGACAGCCCGACAGACTGCGGTGAGTCAGGAAGCTGCCGTTGGCGTGACCGGACCCATCGCAGCCCGGCGTCGGACACCTGCGAGAGACAACAATGCGCGCGCCGCCATTAGCATCGCGACGGTGAGCGAATGCGCGATAAACATAATAATGTAATAACGTGATCAGATAAATTATGATCTAATGACATCACGAGTAACAGGATGACACCAGAAAAAGACAAACATATTCCACTTGCTCTCTGAAACCAGCAAAAAACAAACATATTCCACTTGCTCTCTGAAACCAGTGAAAGTCAAACATATTCCACTTGCTCTCTGAAACCAGTAAAAGACAAACATATTCCACTTGCTCTCTGAAACCAGTAAAAGACAAACATATTCCACTTGCTCTCTGAAACCAGTAAAAGACAAACATATCAGTAAAAGACAAACATATTCCACTTGCTCTCTGAAACCAGTAAAAGACAAACATATTCCACTTGCTCTCTGAAACCAGTAAAAAGACAAACACATTCGTGCACACGTTGGCCTTCCATGCACACACTAAATGCGACGTGAGACGACGGTAGTAGTCGCGTTTCTACAGATACGCAATGACATCATTTCGCAACGTGCCTCCGAGCACGAATCCATGATATATCCACGATCCACCTAATTATTCCCTACAAACCAGCTTCCGGAATGCATAATAAGTAAACAGTTGCAGCAGTCAGCACGTCAGCAGCAGAGCCAGAGAAAGCCTCGCTAGCAATAATGAAGAGCACAACAATGAGGGGAAGCCATGAATGAAGCAGGGACGAGGCACCGCTGGCGACGGCTGCACAAAAGAAGAACGATATCGCGTTGACACTCGATATGATGACAACGATAACCTCGATGACACTGGCACATGATGTGACAACGGATGTTATCGCTTTCCACACATGAAAAAACCGTGCTAACGATAATATCCAGCAAAGAGAATGACCAACCAAACGAAACCCTGACAGGGGCAGAGTGGTGTCCAAGAATATGTCCCTGCTTTATAAATTCCATTGCTTGGAGAACAAATATGCAGTATAATTTCTCATTTGAATTGATTTTTGTCTTATCCATCACTTCCTCTCCGTGACTTCCCCGCTGCTCCCACCTTCTCTTCCTCCCCCCACCTTCCCTGCTGTCGCTATCCTACCGTATCTTTTCTATCACCCCCACGCTATCCTGGCTGCTCATCTGCCTGTCTTGTCTTATCCTCATCCGTGCCTTCCGCCCCTGCTCTCCACCGATCCATCTCCCTTGTCCCAACTCCCGCCTCATCCGGCGATCCGCTCCCACCATCCATCTCCTGCCCACCTGCCTCATACGCCGCTCCAAACACTCCTCTCCTGCCCTGCCTCATCCGCGCTCCCCACCTCTCCTCGTCCGCTGCCGCCTGCCTCATCCGCCCGCTCCCACCTCCTCTTCTCCCTGCCTCCTCCGCCGCTCCCGCACTTGCCTCTTCCTACTCCCTGGTCCTCCCCCAGCGCTACCCATCTCCTCTTTCTCCCCTGCCTCCTGCCGTCCGCTCCCACTTCCCTCTTGCCTCCCTTACTCTCCCCCGCGGCTCTGCCACCTCTCATTCCTCCCCCTGCCCTCCCCCCGCCCGCTCCCAAACCTCCTGCTCGCTTCTGCCACTGGCCTCCCCGCCGCTCCCACCCTCCTCTTCTCCCCTGCCATCCCCCGCCCGCTCCCAACCGTCCTCTCCTCTCCACTGCCCCCGCCGCTCCACCTCCTCATTCCTCCCCGCGCCTCCTTCCGAACACTTCCGACCTCCTCTTCGCTGCTCCTGCCTCCCCCGCGCTGCCCACCTCCTCTTCCTCCCCCGCCTCTTCCGCCACTACCCGACCTCCTCTTCCTCTCGCTCTGCCTCCCCCGCCGGCTACCCACTCCTGCTTCCTCTCCTGCTTCTCTCGCACCCTGTCCTGCCCCTGCGCAAGCTTCTTACCGCCAGCTAATCGGCTTCATCTGCCTCGAAGCTACCGCAGGCAATCGGCTTCGCGGCGTGAAGGCGGCGGCGCCGCGGATCACGATTACGTCGGGCGACCCGGGTGGCGGCGCGCCGCAGCGTCGGGCAAGCGAGTGGCGCCCTCTGTGGCGGGTGAGGGTGCGCCGACCATTCTGGCTCGTGATGACGGGCCTGCCTTCGAGACCTTCCGCTAGTCTCCCGACTGGTGACGCGGACGTCACATCTTGTTTAGCGCGAGTCGGCCGACCTGACGACTAACAAATAGCGCCCGTTACTCGACGATGACAAATACGCCGTTACGCGACAACGACATGCCGATACTGTGCTGAATATAAAGTATACATTCATATATATACATATAATTGTAATATAACATATATATATATATATATGTTATATATATAAATATAATTATAATAATTAATATTATTAATATAATTTATATATATTATATAGATATAGCATAATATAATATACGCCCGTTACTGCCGTGGAGTAACTCAGACTTAGATTTAGAGTACTCAGACTTAGATTTTAGAAGTACTTTGACATAGGATTATAGAGTACTGTATACTTCGAGAGAGACAGAGAGCGAAGGCCGAAAGAGATTTACAAAACAGAGAGAGCAGAGAGGCGAGCGAGCGAGCGAGAGAGAGAGAAGAGACGAGAGAGAGAGAGAGAGAGAGAGAGAAGAGAGAGAGAGACCAAGCGAGAGACGAGAGAGAGAGGAGAGAGAGACAGACAAGTGGCATAAAAAAGAAAGAAGACAGCGTGACAGAGAGGGGGAGAGAGAGAGAGACAGACAGACAGAGTGTGGCAAAAAGAAAGTGACAGCGTGAGAAGAGAGAGAGAGAGAGAGAGAGAGAGAGAGAGGGAGGGAGAGGAGGGAGGGAGGGAGGGAGGGAGAAGAGAGAGAGAGTAGAGAGAGAGAGAGAGAGAGAGAGGAAAGGGAGAGAGGAGAGAACACAAACACCATCACTGCCACAAACACAGCATCACCAACGCGGCCTGCTCTCACAACCTTCTTGAGGAGGGAGGAGGAGGGAGGGAGTGAGGGAGGGAGGAGGGAGGGAGGGAAGGGAGAGAGGGAGGGGGGAGGAGGGAGAGAGAGAGGAGGAGAGAGAGAGAGGAGATGAGAGAGAGGGAGAGAGAGAGAAAAGAAGACAGCGAAAGAGACAGAGAGAGAGAGAGAGACACTCCCACACACACCTGCCACATACACACACATCTCTCACCTTTTTGTCGTTCTCCTTGTTCGTGTCACGCTCGCTACTGCTGCGTGCGCCAAACGTCGATTGTATCGACGCGCACTGCTCCTCGATTCGTAGCAGCGTCTCTAGCGTCGCCGCCGACGACGCATCCGCGCCAAACTCCACCCGCTTCTCTCCCTCCTCCTCCTCCTTCCGCGCTGCTGCTGGCGCCTCCTGGCTGCCCTCGCTCGAAATACCCGAGTCGCTCTCCTTCCCCTGACTGCCGCACTCGGGCGCGCCGCCCGCACCGCCGGCGCCCTCTGCCTCCTCCTCCGTCGCGCGCGGCACCGGCACGGCGGCCATCTTGCTCGCGTCGACCTCAAAGAAGATGGCTTCGCGTCGCCGCGGCGCGCGCGGGGCCTCGCCGTCGCCGTCGCCCGCGCCGCCATCTTGCGCGAACAGGTTCTCGATGTCGTCGGCCGACCTGCCGGTGTCGCCATGGTCCGTCGTCGTCGGTGGCGGTGGCGGGGTCGCGGCGGGGTCGTCGAGACCGACGGAGAGGAAGCGGAGCGCGGCCTCCGTCTCACGGAACGACCGCTTCTCCTCGTCCACCTCGCTCTCCTCGGACTCCGTGTGCCGGTCCGCCAGCCGCATCCTCAGCGCCGCCGCCGCCTCGAGTGGCGCCCCCTCGCTGCGCATAGTTTTCACGGGAGAACCTAGCTGCGTGCGGCACGCGTCGGCAGTTCCGGAATCTTCCCGTCTGTCGGATTGTGTGCGGCTTGCCTTGGCGATTCCGGAATCTTCCCGTTCGTTGAGCTGCACGCGGCACGCGTCAGCGATTCCGGAATCTTCCCGCCTTTCTGATTGCGCACGGCATGCGTCGATGGTTTGGGAGTCGTCCCGTCTATCGGACTGCTTGTCGTAACGTTTTTCTGCGGGCGCGGTGGACACGCGACAAGTCACTGCCACGGGAGAATTTGATCCTCCCGTGTCGACCTCCTCCTCCTCCTCCTCCTCCTTCGCCCTCTTCTCCTGTTGAGCAGATTCCTCTTGACTAGAATGATCAGCGCTCGCGAACAGTTTCGAACGCGCTCTTTGGTTTGCGGAAACGCCCTCAGCCACCTGCGCGGTTGCTATGTCGGCAGCCTCAGGGGTCGTTGTCGTGACAACGCTCGTCGCCGCGGGATCCATCGCCACGGCGTCGTCGGCGACTGTTGCTAGGGACGACGCCAGCACCTCTGTGACGCAATTTAGCAGCTTTGCATCCTTTGTGGCACTGCCTCGCTCCTCCAGAGTGTGCGTGACCTTTGTGACTTCTCGGGCAATGGTGTCCACTTTGGCAAGGCTTCCCTCTTCAGGCAGAAGAACGGGAGCTGAGGTGCGACAGCTGGTGACCTCTGGGACAATAGTAGCCGCAGTTATACAGCTTGTGGTGACTTCAGGCACGACGGGGGGCGAAGTAGGACAACTGGTGATCGCTGGGACAACGTTGGCTGAATGAGGATAGCTTCTTTCCTCTGGAGCACTATCAGAGAGCTCTGGGACAACAGTCGTTGAAAGGACTGCGCCTGGAATACTTTTAGTAAGGTTGGTTATGACCGTGTCGGAGCCACTGACAGATGGGTTGTTTTTGGTTACATCAGTGCTATCAGAAGAGTTTGCTATTACTGTGCGAGAATAATTGAAAGGATGGCTTATTACTGTGTCAGGAGCAGTATCAGAAGGTTTGGTTTTTATTGCATCAGCGCTAACAGATGGGCTGGTTTTGACTGTGTCAGCAGTAAACAAATAGTTGGCTTTAAGCGCATCGTCACTAACAGAAGGGTCAGTTTTGACTATGTCATCACTAACAGGTTTTTTTATCACTGTCTTATCGCAACTAGAACGGTCGGTAGTTATGACAGCGTCAGCACCAGGAGAAGGGTCGGTTATTCGTGTGTCAGCACTACCAGAAGGGTTGGTTTTCACTGTGTCAGCACCCACAGAAAGCTTAGTTAGCACTGTCTGTCGAAGAATGCTCTTCGCGGAGTACGTTATGACTGTGGTAGTCGCGTTCCCCGCAGGTTTCGGAGCGACACCACCGGAAGCATTCACGCACGTCTCCGCAGCGTGTCCGGACGAATGCGGCGCGTCGCACGCGCTCGCACGCGCTCGTACCCTCAGCTGTCTACTCCCCTTCGCCTCCTCCGCGTTCATGCTCTCCGGATCGGGGAACCTCGGGGAAGCAGCGGCGGCAGTCTCTCTCACGCTCGCCGGCGCGACGACCAAGAGCTTCCCCATGGCGGCGTTACCCGCTGCGTTCCTCGCCCGCGCAGCCGTGCCCACGAAGCCCTTCAGGTTTGGCACCATGCCAGCGTACTCCCTCATGCCCGACACCTTGCTGCCAGGCTCTCGCAGGCCGAGCACCATGACAGTGGGGCCCAAGGAAACGCTCGCCGGCTGCGTCGTCGTCGCCACGGCGACATCTGCGCGACTCCTCGCGCCCGGCGTGATGTCAGCTGGCTTATTGGCGGCTGGCATCTTGTCAGCAGGCTCTGCCTTGCCAGATTTCATGCTAGCGTACTCCCGCTTGCCAGACATCATGCCAACAAGCTTCCTCTTGCCAGACACGACCACGCCAGCGCGGTCCCTCTTGCCAATCACCACGCCGACATACTCCTTTTTGCCAGATGCATTGCCAGCATGCTGCTGCTTGCCAGCCACCATGCCTGCTGACTCCTTTTTGCCAGATCGACGGTGAGCGAATGCGCGATAAACATAATAATGTAATAACGTGATCAGATAAATTATGATCTAATGACATCACGAGTAACAGGATGACAACAATGCGCGCGCCGCCATTGGCACGGCGATAGCGAGCTAATACGCATCGGGAATACGCGATAAACGTAAAATATTAACTAATCTAATAACATCAGGAATAACACAATTAGGCCAAAACAAAATATATGTGTGGTTACCGTTGCATGCGGAAAAAAAATAGGGTAGGTAGGTAGGGAAAACATTTCATTTTCTTGAAATATTTTATTTACGAACCATTAACGAAGGATGTGCGTTGTGCCTTTTGAAGCAGGAACTGTCCAATTCATTTTAAATTTTAAATTTTAAATTTTAAATTTTAATTTTTACTTTAAAGAAAATTTACAATAAAATGTTTACGATCCCTGGGAATAAATAGGGTCGGTCGGGAAACCGTAACCACACCTATATTTTGTTTTGGCCTTAGCAGAATTGTAGGTGGTTTCGTTGACAGGCAATGATCCTTGTTAAAATGTCAAATCAATGTTCCAATGGTTGATATTCTTGTTTATTACCTCGTTGCTGCTCTCTATTCCCCTCAGAATTTTACACTAATTCCCTTCAGTTTTTTACACTGTGCCACGCTAGACCGTGAGGATGCCGGCATATAGACGCGCCAAACTCTTCGACCGCCTCAACAATTCCGTTAATTTTGCGAGCGGACGGAAACACGAGGGAATTCGCCATCACCTGCGTGATTCTGCTGCTGCTGCTGCTGCTGCTGCTGCTGCAACGATCGACAGACAAGTCGTTAATTGCACACGCCGCACGCAACCTTACACACCTGCGCCGGGGACGATCGCACGCGAGCGAGAGCAAAACACACACAGGCAGGTATGTAACGACTTACGTCAGTCCATCCACCTTGACGATCTTGCCATCGATGTTGATCTCCGTCTTCAGTCGCATGCTATTGCGTGCGCCCAGCGGACAGCCGGACGCGCTGGAAAGATGCAAGCGCACGCAAAATGTGAATCGAGCAACTCCGACAATTCCCGATGTCAGTGGTTCTTAACCTTTTTTGGGTCATGACCCCTCTGGTGAAAGCTACGGACCCCTCCCCAGAAAAATGCACATAAGCACATAAACACAAAATTTTGCATACAATGGGGGTTCACAGACCCCCTGAAGCCCATCCAAGGACCCCAAAGGGGGTCCATGGACCACAAGTTATGAACCCCTGCCCCATGTTATATTACCTTAATATAACTTACCTTACCTTAC